CAGAGAGAGGGAGACACAGAATCTGAAACAGGCTCCAGGCTCTGAGCTGTCAGCACAGAGCCTGACGCAGGGCTCGAACTCACGGGCCGTGAGATCATGACCTGAGCCAAAGTCGGATGCTTAACCGACCAAGCCACCCAGGCGCCCCCCCCATTCTGTGTTTTTATGAGATGATCATTGAGTATCGGTCCCAATTCCTGCACATTCCATTCAAAATATTTTGTGATGTTAGGATCACTGAAGTTTGTGCTTGTACTGGTTGAATTAGGAGAGCTGCTGTCAGCTGGACTTCTGTGTTGCAGATCTTACCTGGCAAACAGGAAGGTCCAGACACAGTTCTCATTCAGTGCACATGTAATTGGTCAACAGCGAGCTAATAAATCTGATGGTAACTTTTGCTTTAATTAATAAAATGTACTCATGCAAAACAAGTAATTTAAGTGTATACGCATATGTGTGTACCTGATAATATGCATATATACACACGTATATAAATTATATAGAGTTTTATAATATTAAAATGCTTATTACAACATAAATATAGGAAGAGTACCATGTTACTAAAATTGATGACTGTGTAATTTTATTTACCTCTTGGGAATCAATTGAGCTATTGATTCCACAGCAAATGTGTTTTGATTAAGATCATGGCGAGATATGTTTGACAGCAATTTCAAATTATTAGAGTTTATTACATATTCAAAGTCTACAGTCAACTGAGATGGTATGTATCTGATTTTAGCTTAGAGAGATAAATCTATTATTTTGTTTCAGGTACTATATCCTCTATACAATTACCATGTGCCTTATAAAAACCCTACCCTTTCTGGGCTGGTCTGGAATATGGTATGATGCTCAGTGTCTATGTTTATATTAAATAGGGTTAGAATCATGAATGTAGAGATTAATGTGCTTTATAAATATTTACAGTATTGCTTTCAGGCATATATACAGATTGAATCTGCACTAGTTGAGTTTAGTAGTTAATGATTGGTTTTTTAGTTGTGAACATAGTTATTTATGGTGTTTATTATGACTGTGGCAGTGGATGATCCTGGAAAATCACGGAAAGGGAATTATTTCCAGAGAAAGCTTAATTCCTTGAAAAACTTTCAGTAGGTTTTATTTTTCCACTTTTGTATGAAACTCAAATGTACATCCTGTCTTTAACACATGTAGAATTATTCAAGAATAACAATTAAAAAATCATGAAAATACAGTGATATTTAAATGTGCTAAATGGAACATGGGCCCAATCAGGTTTTCATGATTTATCAGTTTTTAACTTCAAAGACTCTGGTTAGCTTGCATTTTTTAAACTAATGAGTTTATCACAGCCCGTGAGGAGCGTGGTGAAAGTATATCAGCTGTAAATTGGTACAAAGCACTAAAAGGGACATTAGCCTCTAATCAGATTCCAACAGTTCATTAAACCTGTCTTTCCAGAATCGCTCTTTGTCTTTTCCCTGCCTTTGCAAGGCATCTTCTTCCCTTTTCGTCTGGGCAAGACCTCCTCTGGGGTAGGAAGCAATATCAACTCATTCTTCATTGTCTACCAAGCAAACAGCCTAGGGGATGCTTTGTTAGGGTAGGTGTCTGGCCGCTGTGAAGGGCAGGGGTGTTGAGGGCTGGCCGTCTGCGGGAAGGCTTTCTTGAAACTGGGTGGTTGCAAGCCAAGCTGGCTGCTTCCAATCACGGAAGCAAGTGGCACATTAGGATTTGAGATCCATGCCTGATGTGTAAACAACTCACCAGCCTCCATGAAAGGATTTCAAGCTTGGAACAAATTAACTGAGCTTGCTAGGGATACCACAGTTCTTTCTGCTCTGAGCTATTAGGATGCAAAATGCCTACAAAATATGGACGAGTCAAAAGCACAAATTTAAAAAAATGTATCCTGCCAGTTTTAATAATACTGCACATTTCTAAGAAAAGAACCTGACAGTAATTTTTCTTCTTTTTATTACCTGATAGGCTAGGTAGCATGGAATTTTTAAATGCTCATTAGTTAGCTCAAGAGTAAATTTGCTTTTTCTTCCTGTTGATGTCTCAGAGCAAATATTTGTGATAAGAGGCCCTATAAATTTTATTTCTTCTTTTTCTTAAACAAAAAGGAGTGGCAAGAAATAGAGATAATTAGAGCTTTACTATACTGCACTCTGTCGGTATTATTTGGTAATAAAAACATTTATGATTTGTCGAAGTGGGAGTTGTTTTTATTTAACTGTCTATTTGATAGAAAAGCAGCTATGTGAAGGGCAAAAACCTGCAGGTTTAGAAATGCTATTAACCTTTGTCATCATGTAGGCAAAATATTTGGAAACAGATCTCTTTTTCTTTTCATGAGACCACGTTAGTATCATGTGCTTATGTTCTGTGACTGAGTAAAGAAACCATTCTAAAAACTCAAGTCTAGTCATTTTTGTTTCTTAGTTTGGACAGGATATGAAGGTAAAATTGCCATTCTAAACATGTTTTAAAACATGATTTTGGCCTGAAGCAAGCACTGGTAAGTGTCTTTCTGACTCCCTTCATAGATTATTGACTTTAGAAAATCCCCAAAGCAGTGAAAAGTAGTAGAAAATAACCTTGATTTAATCTGTTTGTAAATATTGTTTGAAATTCTATTGAGTCACAATAGAAATAGGTTCTCCTTTAAAGAAGTGGCAAATTCAGCCAAACATACACCAAAACAGAAAACAAATTTATTTTTTGGTCACGACTTCAGCTTAAAAATTCATTCTGAATCCAAAATTTATACTAGTTGTTCTTGAAATAGATGTTTGGGGTGGATATATAGAAATTTTCATTTGATCTGAATTGTCATATCACAATTTAGTGTCCAGAATTATATTATCTTGGTTTTTAAATTATGTAGACTTTGATAATAATATGAGAGCATCGTCATTATTTTTATTTATTTTCCCTTTTATGGATTTCTGCACAATATAACCTCCAGAACTCAGGAAGAAGGAAACTTGTCTTCTGTGTCCCTCCACTACTGCGAAAGTGTGATGAATTGTTCCAGCCCTATATATATTAATGTTAAGGTTTCTTTACTCCAGTTTATTATAGTCTGACCTCCAACCCAGAGGTCAGCGAATCAGACTGATTAATTCAACTTCTTGGTCATTATTTCAAATGATAGTTCAGAAAGGGGGCATAATTGGTTATACTGCTATTCTCATTTAATTATACTTCATTGTTAAAAAATTAGGTTAGCAGTACTAAACGTACTACAGTGAAGGAAGACTCTACCAGATGTCCTGTTTTGAATGCTGTATAACGGACTTTCCCTCTCTCTCTCTTTTTTATTCTCAGAATATCAACACCTTTGAGAACAGAATGTTAATGCTTGATGGGATGCCGTCAGTCAGAGTCAAAACAGAGCTTTTGGAATCTGAACAAGGGGTAAGTTTCAATGACGCCCCACCCTCTTCTCTTTATGATAGTCGCAGTCATTTACAGAGCATATCGAAGTTTGCAGAACGGTTCTGATTTGCACTTGCCTGGCTTTTCTCTCTTAAGTAAAAATCACCAGAGACTGATTCTCATCCATTTGCGACTCAAATATTCCTAACCTGGAGAAGATAACTTCCTAAAATCAGGAAAGCACAGTGACCTTGTAACAACCATATGGTTTATTTAAATTAGTGAATGTTTTGAAAAGCTATTAAAAAATTCAGAGCAAAGAGGGAAGTATTAAAAAATAAGATGGGACTATAAACTCCATGTCAAAATGGCTTCTTTCTTTCTTGGGAAATTACAGAGTACAGGTATGAGAATGTTACTGTTTGTTGGATTGATTTCCCTTTTGACATTTGTATTTACCCTTTTAAACTTTATGAGGGCTAGAGGATAGTTGAGGAAATACAGGTCAGTGAGTTTGAAATGCGCATAAAAGCAAAAAAAAAGGCTTACTTACGGATACATAGCGAAATTGACAAATTAACTCATGGCTACTGAAAATATGAAGACTTAAGAACACATCTTTAAAAGGATGTGGGTGATTTTATCATTAACATTTGTAGCTTCGCAAGTTAAAATTATAAGGGCAGTATGACTGCAGCATTGGCTGACCATGTTTTGTATTGAAGTGAGAAAGCATTGCTCCTGTGCCTGGGTACACTGCCTACCTATGCTGCTAACCTACCACCACTGAGACGGTACAGATGACCACAAAAAGTACATAAATTAGATACTTGATCTTGTTCGTATAGCTCTTATTCAAAAAAAGCAGAACATTGGCAATATTTTGTAAGTGAGCCATCAGAAGAAATTTCAAATATGAATAAAATTTCACTTATAAGAATCTGTGTGCATGTGGGACCCCATTCAAGGGGTTAGGATACTATTAAATGTTAAAAGGACTTGGTAATGAGGAACTGAGGTAATGGATCCAGCTGGTAGCATGTAGAGGGTTTCTCCAGTAACTTCCACATTCCTGAGCAATATAGGGCAGGGTGTATGGCATCCCAATGTATATTTCTCTTCCTCGCTCTAAGCCTGTGTCTGAAACAGACCCCCATCATGGGAGGGGATATCATTTCACCTTTATGTTCTGTGTTCGTTGTAGTAGCTCTGCAATGAACTTGGTGGGGTATGTCAACCAATAACGCACCTTCCCAGTTCTGTGTATGACATGATGACTCACCTGGGCTCATCCTAAAACTTAGGCAGTGGAGCATCGTGAAAGAAAGACTGTGTGGCAGCTGTTAACATCATTTGTTCATTGTAGACAAAGCTTCGGAAGAAGTCTTATGTTCACCTGGATTTTCTAGCCTGATTCATCAAGTTAAACTCTCTGTCCTCCCAGCCAAGTAGTTATTACCTTTGCTGTTTACCCTAACACAGGAAGGATTTGTTTTATTTCTTTGGAATTTCTGTTTACTTAATCTAGGTGCATGAGCCAGTTTCATAAAATTTCCAAAACCCCCTCATTTAACACATCGCATAGACCGTAGCATCTCATTCACAGAGGATAACTTTTTTTCATTGTCGATGACAAAATGAAAAAGTGGCATATTGCACATTGTTGCTTTTTATTCCACAATATATTCTTCAACTTGAATAGCAGTAAAGGTACTCAAGTCATGTGTGCTGGAGGAGGGCAGAAAAGTACAGAAGGCAGTCAGAGACCGCTAGTCAGAGCCACGATGGTGCATTGTGGTCACTGGTTCTGGGAATGTTTGGTGATATCAGGATGTTTCTCTCTCCTTTATTATCAATTTATAGTTTTATAGTAAGTTTGAAAGATTGAGATGCACAAAAAACAAAAGCCAATAGTTCCAGAAGTTTTACAGTGTGAATAAGAACCTCAGGCCACATCATTTATGGAAAGTATTTCCTGCCCTTAAATAGAGACAGGAAAAATGGTAGGTTCATAGGTTTTACTTAATGCCTACTCATTAAAATCAATTTTTCCTTCTTGTGAATGGAGCTGATGTTAGTATTTTAACCCTAATTTAGATTATGTACCTGGAAGGAAGGGAGAGAAAACCCTGATTTTAGTCTTTTCTTTAGTTTTGTATTTCTTAAATACGTGGCAGATATAATTTCATTCTCTTTCACAGTAAAGCTTCAAGAGAAGCAGCCCACAGTGTTTAAGGGGATGTCTTATGACCTAATTATTTATGGAAAGCAATAATTTGTATTTAGTCACTTGCAATACTGTACATCAGTTCTTCTTTAAAGTTAGAATTAAATCTAGATTTTAGTGAACTTCACTCTTGGTCATTTTACTGGAGTTTTTAATTGGGGATAATGGGATGAGTAATATGCTGTATAATTTCAGAGTCAGAACTCTTTTTAGATAAGGAATGTTAGTAGTCTAAAGATTTCTTTATTTCAATCTTACAGGATTCTTTATTTTTTTAACTTTTAAAAATGTTTCATTTATTTTTGAGACAGAGACAGAGCATGAGCGGGGGAGGGGCAGAGAGAGAAAGAGGGAGACACAGAGTCAGAAGCAGGCTCCAGGCTCTGAGCTGTCAGCACAGAGCCAGACGCGGGGCTCGAACCCGCAAACTGTGAGATCATAACCTGAGCCAAAGTTGGACGCTTAACTGACTGAGCCACCCAGGCGCCCCTCAGTCTTACAGGATTCTTTTCTCATTTACTGATAAAAGCTGGTTGAAGTTTGATTCTTTGTAAGAAAATGTAAAACTTGGTGAAATTAAAATAATCACACGTGTGATTATCGGCTTCTGAAAAAAGATGAGCTGTTAGTTACAATGGACACAAAGTTAGAGGAAACAATCCCCGAATCACAACGATGAATGAGAAAGCATGAGCTTGATGCCAAGGATCGGATCCCATAATCACTCTGGAAAACCTACTTTTGAGGCTGTTTTTTAAGACATGACATTTAACGTCTATCTCTTGGGGAAGTAAAGTTGAGTCTGCCATTCAGGCTCTAGGAGGCATCGCAAAGATACGCTACTTCACACGACATCCTGTTTAAGCGATTCACCACGAAGGCACGTATGCCCTTCTCCCCTTCTGGCTAAAAATAGTTCCTTAGGTCTTCCACTGTCAGCTGCTCTATACATCTCCCCCCACCCCTCCAAGGAATTCAGGACCCAATGACCACATTTCAGAGTGGGAAGACAGACTATGGACTGGGCCTAGGTCAGCCACTCTGCTTTCTCTCTTCTCTGAAAAGTTCTGGCAGCCTTGCCTCATTCTCTTTAAGTGTGTGTGTTTTATAGTGTGCGGATGTGGTCAGATCTCTTCAGTCAGATTGCGAGCTCTTAGAGGACAAGAACTATTTCGCGTATTTTTCTTGTAGGCCCTGGCACATGGTAAGTGCCCAGGAAATCCATGCTTTACATATCTCGGCATTATAACTGGCATGGTGAAGAACTACGAGACCAGTCAAGAGCTTGTTATAAACCTGCTCTTCCTACTTCATCCAGTTGTTGTGAACAACAACAACAACAACAACAAAATTGGAAATACTGGCAACATACATGCTCACTGGTGACATAGTCTTCACCTTGCAGCCATGTGCACTTGGATAGATAGAGGAGCATATTGACACCGACTGTCTGACACCGACTTCTGTTTGGGATTCTAGGACTCCTGCATCCTCAGTTTTGTGACATCTGAGTAGATTATTATTGCAGGCTCTTGAAATGTGACTTCCGTGTTCTCCAGGCTTGTCGGTAATACAGCACACGCTGCTAAGCAGTCCATGGGAAGGGCATGTGCTCTTGTGATACACTTCAGGGGCACAGCAAGGAGTGTTGGAATGACTTTGACTGTGACCTTTGGTGCTTGTGTCCTGCTGTTACAAGAGCTTCCCGAATGCTGTCAGCCTTTGGATGTTCTAACATGTTACTAAGCAAAGGACTAAAACAGGAAGAGGAGGACTGGAACGATTCCACCCAGAGATAAGGCAGTGGCAGAGAAAGGGTACTGCCTCAAAGACATAAAATGTGGTTTTGTTCCTGGCCTTGCAGCTTACCGGCTCGAATGGCATTGGGAAGTTACTTCTGATCTCCAGGCCTCTATGTCCTCATCTGTACAGTGGGGGTATTAAAAGCCTGCCCAGGATCCATCTGACATTGTCTGAGTCTGGTAACGGGCCAGGAGGGAGAGAAAGCATTTCCCATTATGAGTTGAACAATCCTACTACAGTATACTGCCATTATAGGAAGCTACCCGTTTGTGGAAGTAGAAATGCATAGAGTTTAAAGACGGACAGACTGGAGTTCAGACGCTCAGTCAGCCAGGGGCCGGTGGTGTGGGTCCCGTTTGGTCTCCATCCACCTGTTTCTCCTCTTCTGGGAAGTGAAGTGAATCACCCAGCCTCACGAGAGCCTGCCTGCATGTAGTGGGTGTTGAATAAATGTTCTCCCTTTGAAGAAAAGCAGGAATAAAAAGGACACCATTTCCTCGAATTTCAATAGTTGCCAATTTTCCTATCTTATTTAGTAGGGACTAAACATCTGAGTTAATTTATAATTTTAAAAGAACATTTAAGGGAAATCTCAAACTGGAACCCTTATTTTTTTATTTGAATTTCTATTTAAGCATATCTGGAGAAAAATTTCAAGATCTGATTAGATTTTATCATGTAAAAAAAAAAAAAATGGAATAATGACGCCAGAAATCCATTAGTTTGTTAAGACAAAAAGACACCAAATTTTGGTGTGGCAGTGGTATTTGGCCACATTTTTTTAAAAAAGGAATTCTGAGTTTGTATACTTCAGAGATAACTTATTGATATATTTACAGGTGAGATGATTAGTTGTCTGGGATTTGCTGCAAATGAAATGGGAGAGCAGAATGGATGGGGAGAAAGATAAGACTGGCCAGGATTCAGTCATTATTGAAGCTGCACAACAGGGGGCTCGTGTAACCATTCTGCCTGATTTTGTGTATGTTTGAAATTCTTGAAAGTAAAT